CCAGTCGATTGATGTTGAATATTTGGTGACGTATAATCAGAGGCAATAGAAAACACCATCAGATAAAAACACGTTGATGACGTGCATCAGTCTGAATAAGCGAGGTTTCATTGTACGAGAGTTTGTGCGTTACAACGAACAGAAAGTCTGAATTGATGAGGTGTCATTGTGCAAGTTTTTTTTTCTATAATGTAGATGTTTCATTGTATAATGGTTTCACGAAACAGAAAATTCGTATTGGAGAATAATATAAAGGTTTTATCATACAGCAAACAAAAATACTAGTTTTGGCTAGGTTTCTTTGCATAAAAGTTTAATTTCCCCCAAAAAGTTTAAATTGATGAGTTTATCCTGTAAAATGGGTTGATCGTACTGAATGAAGTTTGGAAATGCCTATTCGGTTATAGAAACACTGCCTATAACGATGAAAAAGTATTCATTATTCTAATGAAAAGTCTATATATATTGTTCCAAACCATTGCCTATTCTGTCATAAAAGTCTGGTCCTGTTCTCATTTTAAACAAATGTCTATTCTGTATTATAATGGTGCATAGCTCGTTATATATTCATTAATTATTCTGTTATAAATTCAATTAGGTTCACGAAGTCAGGGAAACCTAAAGCAAATGTTAGATGCTAATAAGCTGAGTGAGTGTTTACGACTTAGTACATAAGGATACCTCCCTGTGAGACCTATTATATTACCTTGTATACGATGCATGTTGTCGAAATCTGAGATATTTTATAGGCTACCGTCTGTCGCCTGAGTTTTCTTTATTTTTATCAATAAAATGTTGCTGAGACGAACAAAACTAGCATTGAAATAAAAAGTACATATGAAAACAATAATATGAAAGTAAAACAGATACTTACTTTATTTTTGGAGATATTGAGTTTATAATTCATTTATCTCTAAAGGAAGATAACTTTTAATGTGTGCACATACATATACCTCTTCGCTAAACTTCACTCCATCATCCTTTATATTGCAACACGGTTTGGTATCCTATAACGACAGTTATTTTTCTCTGTGAGTTTTTAAGGTGTGATGCGAGGCTTGGCGACAAATACTTTTTTGTCTGTGTCTTTTCTCGCCGTTGAAAACAGTGTAACGCATATCCATTTTAAGCATTTAACACTCTCAGCGTGATTATGTTACACTAAAAAGTGTCGATAACCATATAACAAAAGATGTCGAGGCAGAATAAGCAGATAATGCCATTCCGGACTGATGTATAATCTAAGCCTGGGAGTGGTGCAACATATTGGAAAACCTTGTTGTTTTGTTAGCTCTACCGTAAAGGAAGTATGTGCGAGTTTACTTTCATTTTTTGTATATATTTAAAATTACAATACACTGTCGATTGGAAACCAAAGTTAATGGAAAGACTTGACCCTTCGTCTGCGATTAACTCTGCGAGCTATTGTAAGCATCAGCGTCAACGTAACGCCTTGCTTGATGTTACATTGTGACATTTTTAGACGCTCGTGCTTTGTGGTGTTAATTTAAGGTGGATGAGACGGACGGATAGGGCGTACTAATGCGCCACGTGCATCTGGAATGGTTTCACGTGCATTTAGTTGTGAGATATATGGCACTACAACTCGAGGAGAATTAACAACAAAGCAGTATAAACTATTGTAATAGACGCTTCAACACCAAAAATACCATGGTAACTGTCTACTTAATTCACATGTACGTGTGAAAGGAATGTGAGATCATGTGAGAAGGTTAACGCCAAGGTTAGAACTAATTTATGTGTGCCTGTGGCATGGTCCACAGTGAGACATATCGACCTTGTTACCTCTAATACCGGAGCTATTGAATGTTTCAACGTTTGCTAGCGAGTAAATGGTTAGCCAACCGGAGGATTTCAATTATCGTTGTTAATTTGTTTTTATTTATTTATGGCCCAACATTGCATATAAAAACAATAAAATACAATTTCATATAAAATTTTAGGCTTAAAAATAGTTAATAATTTTACAAAAAACAAACAATTTACAGCAAATATTCAACAATCGTTCTAGAGTTATTACCCGACGGTAATGATCGTGATGGGTAATAAAGGGAATAGCAAGTATAGAAACTTAGGAGCTCTCGTTAATTGTTTGGTGTGTTCACGTCAAAAAGTTGTACCTCAGCCTGTATCATATACGTTACGAATTAAATTGAATGATCACTGGCGTGATTTACTCAATCTTTCTAGTGCGGGTTGGTAGACGTGCTACGGCGCTGTGAAGCTTTAGTAGACGGCTACGTGATGGAAATAGTTAGTGTATCGGATATATCACAATGCCTGACATTGTCCGCGTCCACACTAGAGATAACAGGCAAATTTACCAAAGTCTTGGTTTAGACTAAAACAATCAAAAACGTTAAAAAATATCGAATTGCTATCAACATGATTTGTCAATAGTATCTACCTGTATTTCAGCGTTCAGTGAGCTAGCACCGGTTCCCTAGATTCTTTACAGCTGAGGTTGCCTTAAAAGCTGTTGCATTAATCTTTAGCTGGAGAACCTGGGTATGCAGACACTCGGGAAAAAGACGATTAGTTCTGTCTTTTCGCGATAAAACTAAAGCCTGTTGCCGTTCACGCAGGTACTGATTGATGTCTGTTAGACAAGCTTCCAGACGTTCTGATATGGTGTCTTAGCTGTCTTTTGGTTTGATACGCAGTTTGATGTGTGTGTCATCAACGTAACAATGATCGAGAAATCTCCCTAACCGGTTTGGAATACATCGACACCTGAATTATACCGAAATGTAGGATTTTCTTCTCTGAAGAAGTAGATCATCTGGCAACGCATTGTCATGTTTGCTCAGATGGGATTGCATATTTATGATAAATACATGCTTTCGTAACTTACTTCGATCTAGCAGCGTAAATTATTGCTTTTAGTTTGGGCAATAATATCACAAAATATTGAAATATTATTGAAGGGATACAGTCATAATTTATCACAATATTTTTTATAGTGGAAACACAACCCTGCTTGTCTGGTTACAAGATCAAATTCAGCATTCCCCATCCTTTACCTAATACTGGAAGATTATGCATGTTTTGTGTTTGCTATCTGTTTCGTTATTCCTTTGAACCTTATTGAATTCCTTAACAAGATTCTACCATTTTAACAGTATACGGCTTCTGCTTAAATAAAATGTACTAATAACACTAATTTTATGACCTTTGTTCCTACTTATGTACATCATTTTTAATCCTACATGTACATGTTTATAGCCTCAAAGGTCGTTCTGTTATTAAGGATGAATAAACAGCGATACTTGTCTAATCCTAACATCATTCTAACCAATAAGTCCGTTAAGAATGTATAGCTTAATGGATTAGACATATTCAATATACATAAGGATTGAATCGCTGCATCCGTCAATGTATATTAAAATCATCGAAACATAAAGATTAACATAGGGAAATAGGAAGTGCCAAATGAACATGATTTATGGACGTTCTCTTTAATAGTAATGACAAACATTATATTTTTCGGTTAAGTTTTGTGGTTAACACGGTGTTCGTTACATACGCTTAGAAACATTTTATTATTACATAGATATCAGGTTTAAACATAATAACGGAATGTTCAGGTATAGTTTACATGTTGAAGAAAACATTTGCAAGAGTATGCAAAGGAATTACCACCTCTGTTGACATTGTTGAGAAACACATTGTAGGTAGCCGTTTTATCGTGACTATTGTTAACTAAGTGGGGGAGGAATGATGATAGCTATAGACCGGAAGTTGTAATTAAAGGCATTGTCTTTTGATAAAGTTCATTAGACAAAGCAAACAGAGCGATCGTACGTAGATACACAACCTTTCCTACAGTTAGGACAACATCTTATCGCTAGAGCGCGGCATCACAGTGACAATGTAGACACGATTACAAATGTTTAATGACCCATTGTGGGTAAACTAGGAATTATCTTTGACCATTGAACAATGCTTTATATAATATTTTAAAATAACTGTTGGCGTTTAGATTAGATATTGCAAGAAAGACATAGAAAGTCATTGCTAACCATGTCTGGTGTTTCTCCTCATCACTGGATCGTTGGAGGCGAAATCTATTGGGATCTCTATAGAATCAGAGCTCTTTGTATATGTTCTTTTACTGTGGGGACATTGATCGAACCAAAAATAGTATCTACTCTGTATTGATTACATTCTATAGCCTATATCTGTTATATTTGTCCTTTTTTTCCAAGATATCGCTCTTGACATCTGTCTGTCGCAATATGACATTTATATGATGCAATAACCAAAAAAAACTCTGCAAACTAACAAAATATCAATGAGACAGTTATAGAATAAAACAAAAAAACACGTTACAGGTTTCATTATCATGTGTTCATAGAATATTTTACCACTAATAATTTCGCTCCTTTTCTGCGTTTTTTCCAGAAAAATTGTGAATACTTTGATATTTTTCGCAAATGCGTAGCACGAGCGCGAATCATAGAAAACTATATCTACTAACTCCAGGATTGAACATTAATGATATTCACCAAGATACCAATAATGAGTCCATCCCCTTTCAAAAACAATGTCGAGACAAAGAATATTAATGCCGTTGTTTGTTGTTGTTCAACCTAATCACTGCTCACTCATTTTATCTGGGTTATTAAAAATGATAACAGTCATTCACAGAAATTCAAAGCCATTCGTATGAGCTTCTGGAAATATGGGGTGTATAAACTTTATTTATTTTAAATGAACCAAACCACTCTTACTGGAACGGATGTTTGCATTCATGGGGTCTTGAAGTGGGATGAAATCTGAGTACCCGGATAAAACAAACATTTGAACCCATACCTTTGTTTGTTCGATGGGGGAATAAAACCCCGGCTGTCTTAGTAAAAGGCTAGCACGCTATCCACTGCATCACTAGACCACCCATCTGGGGTTTATATTATCGGAGTATAAATACATGAGTTAGAATTGTATTTTAATTTTGTATGTGCATATTTCTGTTACAGGACGAGTCGCCAGACACATATGGACACATGTATGACTCGGAAGAGAGTGTACCACAATACAGAGACAACACACGTGTTACACAACTGGTGGAATCACCAGAAGAGGCCTTCCGAATGATAGAAGCAATGAAGGCAAGGACTCGAAGAAGAATGTCTCCATTTTCCGCAATGAGGGGAAAAAAGAGTGTATCTGAGAGTCAAGAAAAACACAACATGGATAAAGCCATTCGGGGAAAGCGAACGATACAAGACGAAAGTGACAATGGTTCTTATGACCTCCAAAAGAGAGCAGCTTATTTCAAGGCGATGAAGTCATCGCTACGTGGGAAAAGAATGGTGCCAGCTTATTCCAGCCCTGTCTCAGAATTCGAGTACCAACTACTGCTGCAGAAGGTGCTAGCGGCTGCGATGTCGCTGTCCGGGAACAGGAACGGTGGTAAGTTGATTGAATTGACATTCATGACATTCATACCCACAAAAACTCCTTTTTCAACCCTTTATGAACCAAAATATTGTCTCATCTCAATGTACTGTATTATGTATTTGTGTAAAACTTTAACACCTAATAGGACAGATGTATTGGTATATGATCGAGAGAATCGAGCAAAAAAAGAATCCTGTTTCAAGAACCCCAAAAACGCAGCAAAATCTCTAGATTATAGTACAGATTGTTTCCAGTCTTTTTAAATTAATAAGATTAGTCACGTATGGATGCATCTACACTGAATAATAAACAATAGACTTGTTTTCTTTTTGGTTCCGCGTGGCCAGTAAATCGAACGATACATATTTCTGAGATACCATCATTTCCCAATTTGTTTGTGTTGAAGGGCCATTGTAAGACTGAAACCTCAAACATCTGCGTCGCTCGCTTTTTTCGCAACTAGTTAACGACTTAATCGTAATAGCTGTACATTGTGACGAGGTATGGAGAGCTTTGCGAATGACATATGTAAAACAGTGAGTTCCGATCATGATCCCAATCCTCCTGTCAGAGTACCACCCCAGAGTGTGGCTGAATTAACCAATTTCCGTCTTAATAAATACATTTAGTCAACAAGGTTACCATACTCCGAATATCACACTGCAAGTTACAAGCACAAGAACACTTCCGGTTTGGCATTTCCGTTATTAATCCAATAACGTTGAGTGCTTTCAATAATAACCACATTCTTTCTGATAGGTTAATCCCCATTTTTATTACCTCGCTCTGCCATTTATGGTGACGAACAGAGGTTAATCGTGTTTTCTGAAAGAAGGTTTTTATTACTGAGTCTGTATGGATTCGTTGGTCAGCTGACTTTACGAGTGCAGTCAGCTCATGGAATTCTATTGACGGATCAAAATATTTCCGTTTTAACATTAAACTTTTTTAAAGTGACATATTTTTTTTTAGAACGTTTTAATTCATTGAGTTTACTTTCATATTAAGTCTACATAATGTACTGTTCAATTCACTTAGTGTTATCACCTCTTTTTGTGTATCTGCTAAACAAAGCTATTTGGTATTATTGATCGTGAGGCGAGATTGGTTGGATTCCATTTCTGGATATCGTTTAGGAAGTTATCAAGGTATCCTGTCAACATAGCATGACGTTAAATCGTCCGATCTGTCTAAATGATTCAAATAATGACAATTTGGCGAACTCAGAGGAATAGCAGAGATTGACACAGCATCGTATCCAAACACATCAAAGACGATTAAGTGAGGTTCCAAGGACATTTTGACGTTAATCCGGGTCATCCTATTTCTATCCCATTACTTACAAAGACTATGTCACTCAAACGCGTGATGTCCTTGGGAGAGACATGTGCCATTTTGATATACACAAACATAATAAATGTGGCTGTGATATGGACATAATAAATCTAATTTAATTTCAAAGCAATTTTATTGTATTCAAAAAAACACAATTGGATTAGGCACAGTCATTGCCTATAAAAGCCCTTTCCAGAGAAAATACACACATTTCATACATTCATATATACATAAATATATATAGAGAGAGTATTATAGAGAAGATGTAGTATATGTTCGAATGAATAGGAGAATACTAGAACCATTTAATACATGTTCACACAAAATAATATCTAGAATATCATAGATTTTAACATTTCAATTAATATAGTCTATTTACTTCAATTATTAATAGCCTAGTGTTTGGTGGGAGACACTTCAAAGGCACTGTCACTATACACATTGCCATCCTCCCCAATTACAGAGTTATTGTTATAAAAAAGCAAATACAAACACATTGTTATATGATTTTTAGTATAGTTTAAGCTAAAAACTTACAGATTTGTCAATAAACTCCAGAACACATGAGAGAATTAATTTATTTGATTCACTGCTAAGGTTCATATCACCCTTAGTGAAAGTAACAGCATTTAAGATGATGTTGTCAATTTCGTTATAAAAAGATAACGCATTGAATAAAACTTATCTTTCATCTATATATTTGGGGCAATTGAGGAAGAAGTGATTTGCATCTTCAATAGTATAACCACAGTCACATTTAGGGTTATCTGTAAGATGATCATTATATAAATCTGTAGTTGACATAATGTTATATTCAACTTCCTGGAGCCACCGTATTTACAAATATCCGTACAGTTAGATGGTTTCAAAACGTGTGTACTTTCCTTAAGTAATTCCAGTTTTAACTGGCTCAATGAAGTGAGTTTTGGAAAAATACAGTCTGGCCTATTCCATAGAGACATCATTCTAGGAAAAAATATTTTTTTTGTACAAGTTGGTCCTGCACAAGGGAACAATAACGTTTCTATGATGTCTAATGCGAGTATTAATTAATATCATTATTAAAATATGGTAAAATACAATCATAAAGATGGTCAGGACTGTCATGCTGCAGTACCTTGAAAAATAATATACATTGGAAATTATCACGTCTTATTTTTAGTTTATCTACACCAACTTCCTTATATATTAAGTTATGACTTGTACCTCTTCTCAAACCTGATATAATTCTGAGACATTCTAATTGGACTGATTCCAATAAGTCACTTTCACCCTGGGTGCAATTATTCCACACAGCACAAGCATATTCAATTGTTGGTCTTATAAAAGATTTATAAATTATTTCAAAAGATTTTCTATCTAGCTTGTGTTTGAGCATTCGCATTATTTGTAGTTTTGTACAGCTTTTTCCATATATATTTATAATTTGATCAGACCATGATCCACGACTATTAAAAAGCAAACCAAGATGTTTATGATTTTTGACATTTATAACAACACTATTTGAGAATACCAAATCTGAATGAGATGTCTCAGAATTATTTTTATTAGACATTAGTAATGATTCAGTTTTACTTGGATTAAATGATATTCCCCATTTATCAGCCCAGATAGACATTCTCCTTAAATCCTCATTAAGAATATCTGCAGCATGTCTGCCATCACCATCTATCAAAACGTAAAGAGAAGTGTCACCAGCAAAGAGTTTGACATGGGAGTGGAGTTCATAAATCAAATGAACTTACAGAGTCGGTTATACCGTATCTTAAATGCTAGATACTACCTTACACACATTAAACATGTATTTCTGTGTTGTGGTTATCTCCTTATAAAACTACCTTACTAAGTAAGTGTTAATTACTGAAGTGATGTCACTATATGTTGTGATGTGTGCATTTCAAATGTGTTCATTAAAAAAAGCCATGATTATCATTCGCAAGAAGCTCTGCATGTTTCGTAGTATTTTTCTTTTAAAAAATGATAATACGCGTCATAGAAGCAAAACATAACCTTCAAGGTTTTAGAAATGCATTACCATATATAATCTAGTGAAAGTGATGGTGTGCTCAAAACAATGTCATTCTCAAGATATTTACAACAACAAAATGATGTGACTAAGGGGAAAAGCATTGTTTTTATTGCCATAAACCCAAAGAAAACTTTGATATCGAACAGTTTCATTTTAGTATTGACATTTGTTGTCTGATAAACATCATCGTATTACAATTACAACAGAAAATTGGTTCTATAAATACCATTTGCTCTTATCAGTTACCAACTGTTCCATAGGGTTTCCCAATCCGGTAATGGCTGTCCATTATCTAAAAAGATATAAGATACAAAACAAAAGTGTTACATCTAATGTCATGCTCTTTTTAGAGGACTCATGTGGGACCTTGTAGAATGGAGCACTGGCGGTAGTAGTATTGCGGCTCCCATTCCTTTCGATCTTTACCGTTCTTTCTTTTCCACTTTTGTCTTCATAGTCATTTTTGGTTAGTAGAAAACATAATTGACCGGTAGAGATCTAATACTCTGGTGTCTATACGCTTGGTGTGTCCATTGTGTTGGTGTCATTGTTATAATGACCAAAGCTGTTTCAAATGCATACCAACAGATATTTGATTCCTTGATATGTAGCTTAATATCTTAATGCAGAATTGGTTACTTTTCTCTCTGTTTCTGCCTTTCATCGTCTTCTTTTGACCCTAGACATATGAAAATGCATTTTGAATTATACGTCTTAAAGGAATTGTGTTTATGTATTTTGAACGAAAATTAATAAGTGATTATTATGCAATCATATTTCACAATAATAGAAAAAGTTATCTCTGTAATGATTGATTCAATATACCATGAATAATAAATTATGAAATGAAATATCGAGCAATCTATATACAGTTACTCCTACGCTTGAATTAAGAACTAAAAACACATTGTAAAGACAACCTTGAGATAGAAATAATACCTGACATACAATTGCTGTAAATGATAATTACTGAGGAGGCATGACTCTTTATATAATTCAAAACAATTACATGCGACATATTCATAAGAATAAAGACGATTCAAGTTATTATTGCCGGTTTGAATTATATATGGCAAAAATAATGAGACTTACAAATTGCAATAGGTTAGGCATTCTATCATATATCTATAGTTCATCTTTAAAAATGTTTTATGTTTCACGAACATTTTTATTAGAGCTTAATTACCCTCTGATATTCTTTTTCTTTGGTTGGAACTCATTTGTTCTGTGTAAGAAGAAATGTATTGCATATCTGCCTACAGTATCTTACCTTTCTACGTCAGGGAGTTGTGATTAATGCACTGTTATTGACGGATGTTTCACATTTTCTCACGTTTTAATATAAATTGCAGCAATCTTATTACAACTCCGTCGCCTTCGTTTCGATTTATGACACTTATCAATTAATTATTTATATAATCAAATTGATTTATGAAAAATTATCAATCATTGTTTGAATTATCAAATCATTTGATAAATGTATAAACAATAAACATTGTCATCTCTTGAACATTGAAGCTATCAACTCGACGATAATTATTTTATCATTCTGTGTCCCATAATAATTATCAATGATATAAAAATCTCAGGCTGAAAACGCTTACATTGCTGACATGTTTGATCTGTTTCATTTGACGCTTGTTTCTCG